GCAACCTAAGAGGCCCATTGGTGATCAAACCCAGGAGGCCCAGCCAATAAGCACTGTGTAGGAAAAGGTCCGTGGTCGATTACCATACCCCTCAGTCCCTCCCCCCGTAGACGGACCTAAATCCTCTGAAGTTTTCAGTCAGCTCATCTGAGCCCTCGATGAAGTGAGCTTACCTGGTGTTGCCACGTTATCTATGAAACGGGGCTTTGTTTTTACTCTTTCTGTGATTAATATACAGGCTAATTGGAGAGTTAATCTTGATTTTAAATTTAAAACTTATTTTATAAATTTATTATTTTTTTCCTAAATTATCCATATTGTATAATGATAACCAAGTATGAGAGAGGAAAGGAATTAAGGAAGATAATTAAAGTGTTTTAAGGAAAAAACATGTCATATTTATTATAATTAATTAACTTACTTAACTTTTTAAGTCTAATCAAATTAGTTTAAATATGTATAACATTAAGGACAAGAGTAGTATTTCTCCTGTCCTAAATATAAGACCCCTTTTGTAGTACTAGAAAAGGAGTCTTATATTTAGGACTGGAGGAGTATTAATTTATATTTATTATTGAGATTCTTTATTAAATTTGAAGTCTAAAGGTTCTAAAGATCTATTTATTTTCTGGTCAATAGTATCGTATCAACAAAAGCCACTTTATGAATGAGTTCGAGAGCAAATTTCTTGGCACAATTGGATTAGCATTATTCAAAAATTAAATTAATTGCCAATACATGGTAATTAGCATTAAATAATTATTTTTTTACAGTTAAGGTCCGATACTGATTAAAATGAATTGGACCGTTTAATGAGATAAATCGTACCAAGGGGTTGGAAAGTTAAATTTATGCATTTTGCAAGAGACCAATTTTAAAGTTAGCAATCTTTGTTACGCTGAGCGAGGGCAATTTATATCATTTGATGTGATCCAACTTGGTTTTGAACGGGAAAACTGTTATTCTAACCTCCTTAAGCGGTCCAAGGCCAGTTGTCGGCTTCTCTTCCTCCCCATAATCTCTCTACAACAAAGCATAGATCCTTCAAACTGACTACGCTTAAAATTCCAACCAATTAACACCGTAAGAAATGAGACATTTTCACTTTGAAACCAACCACCGCCATTTAAACTGAAAACCCCTCTATCATTCCTGTTCACGTGCTTGATTATTACTCCAAACAAGTATATATGCCCAAACTATGCGTCTTAAGGTGCCTGTGAAAATGGAGATTTTCCCCCAGAAAGTAATCGATCCTCATCATTTTGGGGCACACACTTGCAGTTTGCTTCCCTGCTTTTGGTAATCTGACGTTATTTTGAGCTGCTTCCTCTGCTGTTTCACTAGTAATTGCAAATTCTGTTGTATCTGAACATCAAAAAGAGTAACCCAGACAAATTAAGCATAATTCACATGAAATAAGATTGGCAACTACTGTATAGCGTATACTACCTCTAGCTGTTCGTGGAGACTCCTTTGGACCTCACGTTGAAGTTGTAGTGATTCCTCAATTTGCTTATGGCTGGCGCGAGGAAAGATTTTATATGTTGGTATGATTAGAAAAACTAGACGTAAATGCATACAGGATTTACCGAGAATAAATTAAAAAGTGATGACTACATTTTAAGTTGAAGCTCGAAGACTCCTTCTGGTTGGTTTCCTTCTCCAGATCTTTCTGAAATGCCAAGAGGCAACCCGGTTAATTACTGTTTAGCAATGACGATACTTTGGAGTCTATATATATATCCTTTGTGTTTGAAAACAAAAGCCCAAGAGAGTGAATACTGTTCGAAAATGAGAACTAAAACATCTGACCAATTTTGGAAATACATAGATATATAGCTTCCTATATTATCCGGCAAGGGGAGGAAACATGATTCATTTTAGCGTGCTGCAAAAGCTAGCAGATGGTAATGTCTATTTTAATTTCCAGAGATTTTCATGTCTACACTCACCCTCCAAATAAATGAAAAATTAAAGCTTACTCTCATAGTATATTCTATATTTTAAAAGTCTAATAACATGGGAAACTACTTTTCTAAACCATCTTTAAAGAAACTCCTCATTAGAACTGGTCAAAAGAGAAAAGAAGCAGGTATGTCGGAATTTCATGTAGGGTTAAATGAATTCGATTGAAAGTGATGGTGAAAAAGACAAGGCACTCGTAACACAAGCAAGTTGAACAGAAATAGTTTACCCTGCAGATCTTTCCGCACGCATATTGTAGAACGATATTTCTGCCGGGCAGATAGAGACAATCAGTAGGTATATTGACGAAGTTTCAAAACAACAAATGATTTGCTTAATATTAAGAATTTTAATCACCTGCAAATGACTTTTGATGTGAGAAATGGTCAGCATATCTGAATCCATCATCTTGAGTATGGACTTAGGCTTTGCCTCTACAATATAAGATCAATCAAATAACGAACTAATTATAAAACTGAGTGGTTATCCTCTGTCGCGTGTTACATAAACTTACTCTCGGGACCGCCAAGGCAATTAACAATCATGACGAAAGTCTCATGAAGATCCTTGGTCCATCTTATTCTTCTTTTACGAGTTAGAGAGCTCCTAGAAACAGTGTTGATAGGAGATGGAACACAAGCAACCCCACAAGCCCGTGAACACTGCTTATCTGGTGACTGAGTATAGAAAGCCAATGAATCATCATATTGTGTCGGTATTAAATAACGAAATCAAAAGATGGTAGTAATAAATAAGAACCTGCAGATTTCTATGCTGAAAGGAAATTTCCACGGGTTCCACTTCTTCAGCAGCGTCCTCGGCGCGCAATTCATTTTCTTTTGAGCGCTCATGTAAAGACATGTTATCTTCACCGAGAAACTCTCTATATCTGTCTGAATCAGAGGGACACTCACCATACATATCAGAAGAAGAAAAGCTTTCTTCGCTGCTGGACAAGAAAGATTCAACAATGGAGTGCAAGGAGTTGGTGAAACTAAATTGGGAGGCTGATGGATACTGTTTAGCGGTAACGGCGGAGTTATCCCCAGAAGATTTATGGCATGGAAGTGGCGAATATATTTCCTGTGGGAGCTCAGAACAAAAACTAGAAGGAACATCAATCTGAGGGTCATGTTGGTGAAAGCTCGTCCAGGCTCTAGTTCCACACAAGGCAGTTGATGTTTGGAGAGGAGACATAATGTTGAAGGGTAATCCAATGGTTTCGAAAGTTTGGTGTTCTGGTCCTCCAACTTTGGACAGACTTTGAGTTCCTGCGCCGGATTCCCCTTGAAGGTTGAAGATCTGCGGAGAATGGTGCATCCTTCTCTCTATCTTTCTCTCTAGATACGCTACCTTTTTCTGTATGTGAAGGTTTAGCTACCTAGCTAATGCCAAAGTTCCAACGCGGGCATCTGTTTATTAATTTCCTCTGCTCACCAAGAAGGATAGATCAAATACTTGAAATTAGATTATTTAAAGTTTATATTTGTAATGATGTTGGAGGAAATGAAAAAGAGACAAGCGAGTGGAGGTGAAGTAAAAGTAGCAATGTATGTTGACATGATATCGTCTCCATGCATCATGCGAAGTTTCTTTAGAGTTTAGACCAAAAAGGGAAGTGAATTTCCTGTTCAAAGGAAAAGGGTTCAATAATACATTTGTGCTTGACAGATATACATCCTCTTCGTTGGTTGGCTTTACAAATTCGGAAACAAGAGGCTGAGGATAAGACAAGAGAATATTGAAACAGCGGGATAATTGAATTCTTCAATTAATATTTATTGTTTGGATTCGTCTCTTCAAGAGAGTAGTGGGTATGCATTCTGGAAGGTGAATTATGAGTGTGTTTATCATGGTCAGTTGTATTTGAGGAGCGTTCATGAATTAATTCTGAGGAATCTGAGGTGTTAAATAATCATCTTCGCGGGGCAATCCGGATTTAGCTGTGGTATCACTATATTGGGGTTGGAGTGGGACACATCCAAAGTGATTAAGAAAGAAGAAATTGCGTAGAATGAGGACATGATTTTGGAGAGTGAGTGAGAAGGACATAATATGTCAACATTATGGAGTAAGGAGCTAAGGACAATGTTGACCAAGATGCGACTCGGAATTATTCAAGCTTCAAGGCTTTTTTCCCCCTACGCACAGTATCCTCCTGAGGCATCTGCTGTATATATATGTCTTGAAATTTACAATATTTTTTGTTTTGTTTTGGAAAACAAGTCTTAGGCAAATAAAGAACTTTTATAATTTGTAAATTGAACCAAACATTATAGGGGATTTTTTTTTTGTTAAGCCGCATGCTAGCTTCGCACATATCTTGGCTATTATGAGACGGGCAGCAGAGTGTGATTGTTGAGTAAAGAACAGAGTGTAAAACAAGAAAAGTTGTGAACTCATATTTATAGCTCTTTCGATATATTTGAATAAAAATCATAAAAATCGGCATTTACAACACCATCCAATCACTATCATAACCAATGGATGTAGATTCTTAATTATCCTCCGCACTCTTTACATACAGATGTATGTATTGATCCAGGCTATACCATCTCTACAGACAAATGGTTTAGAAATAGGCAACATCTCTGATGCATCTTCTTCCAAGGACGAAGGCCCAAACAAAAAAGGAGAAATGGCTAGGAAGGATGCCCCTTGTACCGAGGCTCAGTTTTTTAAAATTTAACAAACAAAATTAGTCTAATTGATAAGAAGTTAGTTTATAACTTATAATATTATGAGTCTGAATTCTGTTGGCAACGTAAGAACCTTGTTAGTGGATAATAATTATAAGTAGTATCTTTATAAGCGCTTTTTGAATCTAAAAATATATCTAGATTCCGATGAGTCTTGGAGATTCAACTCACTTAAACTTTTTATAAGTGGAAAAAAAAAGTGTAAGCCTCGGCTATTGAGCAAAAAATTCTTGCTTTTCTCTTATTTTCTTTCCAACTTTTTTTCTTTTTTGTGTGGCCAAGAGTAAAAGGTGCTATTTAATATATAATCACAACTATTCTCTGCCAAGTGTATGCGCCGGACGATTTGCGATCGCATTAGGGCAACGACAAGTGGATTCCTGTCTAAAGCATAGGCTTGTACATAAATGATACAAATTCAATTTTTTAAGGCGTGCCCTTTCTCACCACCGTCCACAACAAAAGACAGAGGACTAATTACAGATTCGTTTTCCACCGAGAAAAATCTTCTTAGGAACTTGGGATTATTTAACCTACAAAAGGGAATCCCTCAACGGAATTGTCTTTTTGCTGTGCTCAAGAGAATCACGCATCTCATTGCTTTCCTAATACTTTGGAAACAGAATATAACATCCTGTATAGATAACTGCAGCTTGGATCTCAGTTAACCCTTAAAAGCCTTGTCTAGCTACAAATGATCTACTCACTGGTGTCATGAAAGTGTTTCTTGAGCAATATGAAGGTGAAGTACAAGGATTCTGGTTTCCAAAGAGCACAATAATCTTGTGTACTACAATCACAGAGTTTTCTGATGGAGGATTAATGACGATATGTTTGTGCCATAGAGAATTTGTACGGTGTGGTTTATATTTTGCTCATTAAAATTAATCTTACACATCTGAAGAGCTACCAAGTACCAACCATGTGCCTGGAGAGCTAACATATCTTGGAAGGGAAGGAGGAATTTCCAGACCCCTCGGCAATTGAAACCTCAACCTCTTTATGACTAACTGATGGATCATCATTTTCTGTACTGCCCAGATTCGAGAAGCTATTACATGTTTTCTGCTGCTGGTCAAACATCATCTTCAGCTGCTTTCCTTGCTCTTCAATTCGAAGCTGTAATCTTCTCTGAATCTGGGTACACGAAGTAAATTAATTAAACCACTCTAAACACGTTGTTACATAATCTGAATGCTCTAGAGAACATGAAGACACTGTTCAAACTAGAAGTGTTATTCTCATAGAAATGGAGGATATAGTAAGCATTCACCTCTAGCTGTTCATGGAGACGCCTCTGAACATCTAGCTGTAGCTGAAGCGCCTCTCTGATTTGCGAGCCACTGCAATTCAACAGAAGTAAATCTTGATGGAACTAATGGAACTTCAAAACCATGACAAAGGTTCAGGCAAAAGAAGAATTACGTTTTAACATCAATTTGATGCACATCGTCTATATGGGCTTTTTTGTCAGACTTCCCTGCACCAGAAAACGAAGTTTTAGATCCCAGTATGGGGTGTAACCTGCCAAATGGATAGAGATAAGAACAATGTGCACTTCAAAGATCATATAGAGTTGGGAAAGAAAGTCAAAAGGTTAAGAGAATATCACTTTATTAATCTATCCTTTTTTCTTTTATGTAAGAAAAGCGATTACAAAAGCCAGAGACGGCTACATGTGTTTCTGGGATGTTATTCCATCACTGTCCTCCTCCGCATCAGAGCAAGACGGAGGATGATAAGAGAACAACATTAGTAGTAATAATGCCCAGTCCCACTAGAGAGTTTCAACGTAACTACATCTACGTGATTATTGTTAGTTTACGGTTTTTCCCACCTACTAGGAGAAAGCAGACTGTATTGTTTCACAGCTCAAACTCTGCCATTATGATCGATATAATCGTATTTTCTCTCCATTGCAACTTCCTATATAAATAATTTCAGTGAGGAGAAAAGCAAGATTGTTATTCTCTCCTCGCACTACTTTTAGTCTTCCAAGATAGTATAAGAAATCAGTAATTGTGAATTGTTAATTTTAATTACTGTTTGAACAATAAGTTAGTAATCATAACCTGGGAAAACAGTGAAGCTCATCCTCTGCGTTAACAAGTCTTGACCACAAAAATATTTGCTCAAGATTTATGAAATATCAAACAAAAAAGATTTACTTGGCAAAGTAAAGAAAGGAAAGCACCCTGCACTTTTGCTGAGAATTTACCTTGAGCTGGATCTGGCATGTATTTTGCAATTCTACATTTCTGCAAGACAGGTGAGGGGAAAAAATGTGTTTTTAGGACGTCTGAAAAGACGATACCAACAATCATGATGAAGAAACTCAAAACTCAAAATACCAAACCTGCAAGTGACTCTTTACATGGAAGATGGTCAGCCCATCTGTGTTCATCAGCTTTAATATGGCTTTTGGTGTAGCCTCTACAGTCAAGAGGACTCTCAGATGTTAACAGCTATTCATATTTCTTCACAACAATTTGAAATTAACAAGTTACTCACTCTCAGAGCCCCCAAGGCGATTCACACATTCAACAAACTTCTCGTGAAGATCCTGAGTCCACCTTATACGTGATTTACTTGGGATTACTGCCCCACCATTAGAAGTAGGATTTCCATTAATTGTAACACTTGCTGCCGAAACCGTTGGACACAGCTTCTCTTGCTGTGAGGAGAAGCTTACATGAGAAAGAGGTAAATTGTATGACCCACAACCAACCTGCTGAAACATGATGCAGTAAACATAATATGAATTAATCTACAGGGAATATACACTGGACTAACCCAGAGAAAGAACTGGCAAAATTACTTACCGTATGGTTTCCCCTGACTGAGGCATAATCAACATCAATGAACAATTTGTGTTGTTCAGTTGGAAGAAACTTGTCGGTTGGCAAACGTCCACATGGAGTTTTATTGGGTCTTTCTGGGTCTACTTGGGATCTAGCCACTGCTTGCAAGGGGTTAGATGATTCGACATTGAAGTTAACTTGGTGTGGCGAATGATCCAAGAAAGTGTTTTCCCTGGGAGATTGATACAAAGGGAGTTCCAAATCGTGAATCTTAGAAAATGGAGAGCCAAAAGAGGGATTATTTATGTTCGCTTGGGAATGATATTGCGGAAACCCCATGCATCGTTCTGCTGCATAAAAAGCAGAAGCGGGGGATTCAAAACCGCCCATAATGGTGGTTGATGATTTTGCAGAGCCCATGTGTGGTGACTCTTCAGCTCCTCCAACACCAATATTCCAAGCCTGTTTGACATCAAAACATTGATGAGAACGATGACTAGATTCATAATTGAAATCCCCACTTAGTCCCCGCCTCTGTTGTATCTGCCCTTGCCAGTCAACTCTGTTCTCGTTCATCTACAACAAGTTACAAAACCCGAGCCAAATGGAAGAAGAAGAAGAAGAAGAAGATTGGTAAGGTACCAGGGATAATAATAAATTTGGCCTAAGGCATGAAATTCTCTCTTATATTCCAAAAGGCTTGAGCTACAAGAATTGGATCTAAATGTCGAAATTCCACCATGCAGGGCCGTTAATAATTAATTAGTTATTCTTAAAAAGGATAGGAACGAACAATAAGCAATGACAAAACCAAAGTACAGAGCACGAAAAAGAACAAATCTTCGCCAACAAATATTATATTTTCTCTAACGTTGTCTTCACGTGAATTTTAACTACATGCAAAAGAATCAAAGGAAAGAGGAAAACCAAAGCAGCCAACGAAACATGGATTACAGACTCAGGGACTACCGGATACAATCTCTTAAACAATGACTAATGATCATTTTTAGTTGGAGAATACTGTTTCCGGCTGTTGGGCATCTATATTTGTAATAAATAAACGTTAAATAACATAATGGCATAAATTCATACACAATAGATCTGCACTTATTCTTATAATGGATTCGGAAGAAAATGCTTTAGCTATCCACACAGATGGTAACTGCATCTTGCTTAGTGGAAAGTGGAAATTACCAGAAAAGTGCATCCAATATTATATTCATCTCGTAAACAAGGTGGAACTTTAACTACAGATTCTCAATGAACTCAATGGACTTTCCATTTCCAAAAGGCAAGAAGATTGAGTCATATTCAACACGTTCATATGCTATCTCAGTGCCTTCGTGCCATTGATTCTGATTTTTCTTTACAAATATTTGCTACCTCTTTTCTTTTAGCATCTCGTTTCCCCGAAGAGACCTTTCTTTTCAACTCCTTTTTTAAACTTCTTGTCTAGCTGAATTGCGGTGACAGTTATTTCTATGTAATAGCGTCTATTCTTTACTTGTCACACTTGTTTGGACATTTTTTCCCACTTCTAGATCCGAGTTCGATGAAGCTTCCAAACAAATTTTAGTGATGAAAAACAGAGCAAATGAAATGCTCGATACAAGGATCAAAACCACAATTTACTTGGAAGAAATGGCTCAAACAGAACCCTTTTTCCACTGTTACAGAAAAAACGTTTTCATTTCTCACACCCTTCTTTTGAAGCTCCAAATATTATACTTATGGAACATGTCCTGGTGCCTTACAAGCAAGCATTCATTTGAGTTTACATCCTATATAAATAAATATATCCCACCAAACAATGACTGGACCACTAATCTATTTTATAAACCTTCTCCAGTTTTTATTCGAGTTTCATTGCAAGGTAATGTTGCTGGGTCCTCCTTGAGCAGCTTCTTCTTTGTCTGATGAAATAAAATTGTATAATTTTGTCCCAATTCTTAAAGATATACGAACATAAACCCTACGTTAATTTTTTCCCTCCGTTACCGTCACTTCCCCATATTCGCATTCTCACATGAAGAAGTCAAAATTACAAACGACATCATTCGGACCTAAAAAAGAAACATCATACGGCTCTTTCAAGAAAAGCAAGAAAAAGAGATTGTTTGAATAGATAATTTCCTGCATAGCATTCAAGCTTTTCATAGCTAAAATTGGTCATTCGTTTATCCCATAACAAAATTACGTAACTCGCCTGTGTGATTTTCAAAGCTACCATGCACCCTCAGGAATAACTTAATCAGAAATTGATTCCCAGTAGCATCAGCATTCTTTGGTGTGGTTATTATAATCGAGTTCTTCAAATGGTCTATGACTCAATGTGAAGAATGCGTTGAGACAACATAAGCTGGGCGTAACAAAACAAGAAGAAAACTATCAGAGACAACCACTATCGATGGGGTTAATTTTAAAAATAACCCTTCACTGTCCATTATCTGAAAACTTCAATAATTAACAAAACATAATGCATAGGAAAATCTGGAATGTAGATAACTTTACTTGGAGTGGACGAGTCAGGTGAATGTAATTAGGATGACAAATGTATTATCTAGTAAGACACGTAATTAAAGTTAATGAATAGTTTACAGCAGCCCCCAAAATGTCACAATCAGAAGTGGTGGAATCAAATTAATGGGTCTGTATGTGCAGCTAGCGTCGAAGTTGAAGGGAGATGGAAAGCCAGATTCCTCAGCATTCGGCCTTATGAACCTGACAAAAAGGAATAACCTACGTGGATGATACGTAGGCCCTAAAGTAAGTCAAAAAAGTGAACAACCTTTGTGTTCTTCTGTCCCTGAAAACCCCAAGTATTATCATACATTTATCTCTGCACGCTCAGAATTTTAACAATGCTGGAAAACCTAAATAATAATGTCTACAGAGCTCAAAGAAGAAAAACACATATGATACATCACTCTCCTACTTTCCTTTTGGGATGTAAAGAATTGTATTCCCATGGCTGTATCAGATGAAAATTGAAGGGCCAGAAAGCGAAAACACTAGGGTCTAGGGCTAGGGCATATGCCCCAAAACACAACACCAAAGGAGCACGGAAGTGACTAATTTCAAGGCTCGCAATCCAACTTTTAATTTTCTCTCAAATTGAAACATTCCTCTTGATCTTTAAAAATAGCTTTAATTTGGAAATAGCTAGGGACGCACAAGTTAAGGGCGTAGCATGCATGTAGAGTGCAAAGATCGAGCACAAATTCGATACATCTTCTGTTTTTGATATTTGAAAAGACCTTCGGGGCCACCTTCGATTGCCATTTAACATGAACTTATATACCCACTTGCATATAACATACACGTCGCCAAGTTTTGATTTTGTGTGTGTGTGTGTGTACGTACACAAACATATATTCTTTCCCTTTAATTTCTAAAATTTCTGACTAATATGCCTTGCCAGTCCTCTTGTATTATTATAATTCTCAAAACTGTTGCAGAAGCGAGAAAATATGGAGTTAAACAATTGTTCTGTGCAGATGTTTATATACGGTTCTAGATCGTAGGTGGAGATCATTGATGAACACACACACACACATATATACATATACACACACACACACACACCAGAACTTCGAAATTGGCTTCTTCTAAATTCTTACTTTTTTTGGGCTAGTTCTTCAATTTAGATTGTTTGGAGAATTGGAGTTGTGAAGTTAATTTGTGTGTCCCTTACAAAATTAAGGAGGCCATCACTACATTTTCATTTAAATCTGAACATTTAAAATCTTAATATGAAATTATATCTAATTAAACTATTACTCATTCCCAGAAACACTATATGGGATGTTCCTTTTTTTTTTCCAATTTATACACGCAATCTCAATTATATGTTTTCGAATCATCTACTTAATACTCCTCCGGTCCTTAATATAGGACCCAATTCTTGAGTTGGTTTTGATCCTAAATATAAGATCCATTTCTCATATTTATCAATTTTCTCTAAATTCCTCCTATAGATACTCCCTCAACTATAATCAAGTAGAAGAGGGAGGGGGTATTAAGAAAGATGATTATGATATTTTAGGAAAAATGTGTCACTTTTCTTATAATTAACTAACTTACCTAACTTTCTTAATATAATCAAATTAGTTAAATGGGTCTTATAGTAAGGACCGGAGGAGTATTTTAGAAGAATGTCTACAAGGAAAGCCCAAATGTGGATGAATCGCATTTTTCCTACTTTTTGCTGGATGAAGATGAATCGCATTAACCCCAAAAAAAAAAATGGTAAGCATTATTAATTAACTGGACACCAAATTACAATGCACGCATTCAGCTTCACTACGAGGAAACATATATTATTACATCTATATTATTTTATTGTATCAATTAATTTACGTGTGCAGCTGGAAAAAAAAAATAATTTATGTGTGTCATTGATCTAAACGTCAAAAGAAAATTAATTTATGTGTATTTCTTTTGGCCAATAAAAAAAAACGAATTAAACAATGCTTCGACCAATAGAGAGGCAATGAAATGACAAAACAAAACGAATATAAAAAACAAAATGGATGAAGATTCAAAGAGACCATGGTTATCCACAACACCAAAATTCATTAACTTAAAGAAATTAGATACCTGCATCTGAATTAGTGGGAATCTACAACACAAACTGGCCGCTAGAGCCTCCAAGGGTCGTCTATATACATATACATATACATATATATATATATATATATAAGTTTCTTGTTGCTCTCTCCTCATGCATATCCCTAAATATATAAACAGCGAAATAGTGAATATGGTCGAATTTTACATTAAAAAAAAAGGCTTTGTACTTTACAACATCTACATTTTTTATTACGGGTATTAAAAAAGTCATACTCTTCCGGTCCTGATTATAAGACCCAATTGACTTATTTGAGGAGATTAAGGAAGTAAGTTAAGTTGGTTATTTATAATAAATAAGTGTTGTCATTCCTAAAATATCCTTGCTAATTAAGTATATTGGCTAAAACTATCATTATTAGAAGAATTATCTTAGAAAAAATGCATAAATATAAGAAACAAAATGGATTGGGGTCTTATAATTAGGACCAAATAAAAAGTCAAATAGGGTCTTATAATAAAGACCGGAGGAGTAACAAATAATAAATATGGCGGCTTATAAAAAGTTGTAAAGTCTCTTTTCTTAGTGTCTTTTAGCCATACATATAGGATCGAAAAGAGTACACAATAATTAATTCGTACAACATTAAATGATTCAGAAAATAGAAATGGTGGCGTCAAATTATTAAAGTAATACTCTTCCGATCTTTAATATTAGACTCATTTAACTAATTTGATTAGATTAAGAAAGTTAGGTAAGTTAGTTAATTATAAAAAAAATGACACATTTTTCCTAAAACACCATAATCATCTTTCTTAATACCCCATCTGCTTCTTCTACTTGATTATGGTTGAGAGAGTATCTATAGAGATAATTTAGAGAAAATTGATAAATATGAGAAATGTGTCTTATATTTAAGACCAAAACCAATTGAAAAATTGAATCCTATATTAAGGACTGGAAGAGTATATAGCTGCGAAAAACACTAATTACAACCACGGGTAATCAAATTGAATTTGAAGGCGTGCCATGAATTAGGAACCATCAAATGGAATTACTCTCTGAAATAGAAAACATATATATAACGAGGGGCTGTGTGATAAACCAAGTGGAATAATGTTAAGAAGCAGACCAAGTGACAGAAAGGCATCGAGAATACAGCCACTTGTAATAATAACCAAAGACGACAGGCGTGTCGTGAAACATGCGGTATGCTTTACATACATGTGCGTACGCAGTTACTTCTGACTATTGTTTATTTTATGATATTATATCCGATCATTTGTAAAAACTAGTTTGATTTTTAATTTAATTATAAATATAATATTTTAATTCACTTTGTCTATTATATTTATTTATTTTTTTAAGATAGTTTTTATAGTAGTTATACATGTTAAAGATTTTATCAAATAGCAGTTCTAAATAATACACATG